AAAATTTTTAACTAAACCAAACCAATATCCAAATTAACCAAACCAAATTATCCAAATAGTACTGGTTAAAACGATTGTCATGATTACCATATCGTTTGAACACCACTGGCCCACACTGGCACCCTAGCCTTATCTTTTCCATTCTCAATCTCACGAGGATACATACAACAGGTCACTTCATGTTTGCCAAATTTTCAAAATCGCCCCTCTGAGACGATTGTTTTCTTTCATAATCAAACTGGTAATTTAGACGATGGACCGACGGGATCGAACGACAGAGGATTCAATCACAAGCACTCTGTTTTAGTGACTCGTGCTCTGAAAATTTTCATAAGAAATTGTCAAGAAGATGAAAGTAATGATAAAGAGATGGGTTTTTAAGATTATCGTCTTCAAAAAGCATCCAATAAAATGCTAATGAACTCGAAGTCTAGTAGTCCGTAAACACTAGAATGACCAAAATGATAGTGTGATTGAGTTCCAGCTCTCCTAATTTTTGTTTATAAATTTCCTTTTTTTTTTTGTAATCCTTTATAATTTTCTGTAGACATAGTAGTTACTTGAGATGACATGTGTCGGTTTCACTTTCACTTCGTACAATAGTTTGCGCCTCTTTCACTTCCCAATACAAGGCCGCCTTTGAAAATCAATCATCAGCTATCTCTTGGCATGTCGGTTTTATTGTTGGGGATTTAAGTTGGGCAAGTAAAAGAGTTTAATAAATAATGGAGTTGCAGAAGGAGGATTAGAAATTAATTTTTGGTTGAAACATATGTCTCTTAAGAAAAAAATTTGGTTGTACAACGAAGAGTGGTGGCTATTGGATCCTTATATTTATAGTTTTTACATCTATCACAACCTATTTCTATCTTAAAACGAGGAATCATTGATTGATTTATTGAAGTAGGTCGATTCTTTATTCAATCTACTGGAACTGATAGACAAGGAGTGTCTAATTTTGTATCTTATTACTTTGATTGAGTCTATTAGTATGTTGGAGATAACCCTAATTTTGTCGTTTGCTCTCAAGTTTTGATGGTCTCCTCTTAGCTAAGTTGTTAGTATATAGTTGACTTGAATCAACAACTCTCCATTTCTTTTTCATTAGTGACATATTGTTCATAAAAGGAGCGCATTAAACCCTTATGTAGGATTGTGAGGTTTAAGATTTAGTTTCAAAATATATATGGGTCATGTGGAATTTCACTGAGCTTTTATACCCTCTTTCTTGACAATCAACTAACCAATAACATTGTAATGAGGGCTTAATTATCATTATAAAAATGGAATTAATGATATATTTTATATTCTTAAATGATAATGCTATTTCTCCGAATGTTAGACCTATATATTCTTTCTTTATGTATCATCTCGATCGAAGGATTGTCAATAAAATTAAACCGGTTGATTAGGTTAAACTTAACATAAAAATATAAATAATCAAATATGAATATTCCGGCCAATGGGCCGGGTTATAAGCTAGTTGTGAAGAGTGACTAACTTTTCTATTTGGGATAGGAATAGTTTTTTTTTTTTACAGTAAGGATAGGAATAGTTAAAGGGTGTTGTTCTAGCTTGGTCAATGACTGTTTTCACAATATGCCAAAGTTGAGTGACCATTATGCGTTTCACCTCTCTCTCACCTATCCTTTTCCTTCCGTTTTCCCGGCCCTGTATCATGAAATGGTCCAAAAAACATGGGGTGGGTTATTTAGTCGTGAGGTAAGGGGCGAATGGGCCCAGCCCTCCGACTTCGATTAAATGTTTTAGAATGCGATTGCAAAAGTAACTGTATTTATGTATTTTATTGTCAACTCAATTTTTTTAATCCACCTCAAATCACTTTCATTCATTAATACAATCATTGGCGATGAGGTGACTAGAGGGGTTATCTACTTCTTTCAAACAGGTAATCTCCCTAGTGGAATCAATGCTACTGCTGTTTCCTTAGTTCCTAAAGTTTTGAATGCTGACACCTTGAAGAATTTTAGACCTATCTCATGGGTAAATCTTTTATACAAGATAATGGCTAAGATTCTGGCTAGGAGAATTAGTGAGGTTATGCCTCTGATTATTAGTCCTAATCAATCAGCATTTGTTAAGGGGAGGAGCATCGTGCACAATATATGAGGAATGCCATAGTTACCAGGGATAAACTATTGAAATGGGGTAAAATAAATGATGCATCATGTCCTTTGTGAGAGAAGGGAGTTGAGAATCGAGATCATTTGTTTCTCAGCTGCAGCTTCTCCCTCAGGCTTGCTGCATAGTTGAGATTCAGGTTTCTACACTATCAGAGTTGGGATGCAATGGTACAAGCTTTGAATGCAGAAATATACAGGGACATGAAAGTTGGGAAATTGCATGCTTTGGTGTGGTGTTTGAGAGTAGCCTTCGTTTGGAAGGAGAGATGCAAAGTGGTCCATGGATCGACCATACAAGACCCAGAAAGAGTAGCTGATCAGCTCCAGGCAGATTTGCAGTTCCTAGCATGTGGAAATAGAGGATTGCGTGATGCTCTTACCAAACTACATTACTTATAGGTTTTGTTTTTGTTTGTGCTAAGTTTGTAAGTAGCTGATATATAGGAGAAGGTAGAGGGACGAACACATGAGGATATTTTATGTTCCCACTTCGTTGTATCGGCTCTTCTTGGGAATAAAGAAACTGATTCAACGAAAAAAATAGAATATTTTTTTTATATAATTTTTTAAGGCATTTTGGACTTGTATATACAATTGCATTTTTTACAAGCTTGCAAATATGCAATTGGTAGTCACATCAATGCAATTGATTTTACAGCTCCAAACGCCTATTGTGGATGCTCTTATTATTACATTAACCTCGTAACTCTGCTACAAGTTTCCTTCACGACCCAGTTTCCAACCATCTCCGACTGAAATGTTGTTGGAGAGTCCGGTGCCCTATAAGTAGTAATAATTGTACTTTTCACCAGTGTCATTTGGGCCAACCTCGTGTTGGAAGAAGCTTGGTCAATGGCGTTGGGAAAATATGGAAAGAAGAGCAAAAGGCAATAATCAAAAAGAGGAACTCTGGATATGAAGATCTGTAGCTAAAATCACGTACACTGATTGCTCAACGGTTATAAAACAAAACTATAAAGGGTAGAATAGCAAAGGGAGTGATTCACCTTTTCGCAATAGCAACTCAATAGTAGTTACAGAGAGTATAATCTATTGAAAAGAAAAGGAGAAGTTGTTAGGGAGATAGCTTGTGAGTTAGATATATCAAGATCATAGTTCTGCAGGGAGTAGAACTTTGAGAGGGATTCTAATCGGTGACAGGGAGTCATTGAGATTGAGTGCTGTATTGTGTAACTTGGATACCAATCATCTTAGTGATCGCCAAATAGTTCACACTGAGCTTCTTTGGCCGTGGACTAGTCGGTATTGCTTATTGCATATCGGAAACCACGTAAAGAATTCTGGTGTTGTCTCTCCTGCATTTTAATTCCAATTCACTTTTATCTTGCTGCTCTGTTTCGTGTCTATTACTTGCAGAGTCTTGAGCAAACCACGAATACAAGCAGGAAGAAGAAGTTTTGAGCACACAGCACAAAACGCAGTGTTCCAGCACAAAACGCAAAGCAGCTGGGTAGTCTGAGTGTTGGATCGCATCTTTACCAGTGAGAGAAGTCTGAGTATATCCAAAAATTAGTATTGGGCCTGAAGTAAGCTTGGCTCATTGTTTAAACATTAATCTATCTGCTAGTAACTGTCTAAACTCAATTCGATCAAAACATTTTGCCCTTCATTTCATTTCATCTTCTTCGACAGAGCTAACCACTACTGAAAAACCCTAAGGCAAAAATTCCCAAAAGTCTGTTTAGATTTTGCAGGAGTACCACAAGAATCTCGCGCTCGATTCACACCAACACCTCGTGCCTTTTCAACATATCTTGACAAACTAAATACTTACTGAATATGTTTGAGAAGTTCAATCTCACAAATCTTAAATCTGCTGTAACTCCAATGGGAGCTACAATAAACTGTCAAAAGATGAATCAGGCACTGCTGTTGATGACAGATTATATCGAGAGATGATCAGATCATTGTTGTATCTAACAGCGAGTCGACTTGATATAACGTATAGTGTTTATGTATGTGCTAGATTCCAAAGCAGTCCTAAAATGAGTCATCTAAGTGCTGTCAAAAGGATATTTCGTTATCTCAGTGGAACTACTCACTTAGGACTTTGGTATTCATGTGAATCTCGATAATAATTAATTGGATACAGTGACTCTGATTATGCTGGCTGCTCAGTTGATCGAAAAAGTACCTCAGGTACTTGTCATTTCCTAGGGACTTCTCTTGTTTCTTGGGCAAGCAAGAAACAAAATTATGTTGCTCTGTCTACTGCAGAGGCAGAATACATAGCTGCTGGTTTGAGCTGTACTCAATTGTTATGGCTTAAGTATCAACTACATGATTATGGTCTAGAATTAGGATCCCTTCCAATTCTGTGTGATAATACAAGTGTAATTAACATGACAAAAAATCCAATTCAACACTCTCGTACAAAGCACATTGAGGTACGATATCACTTCATCCGTGAATTAGTTCAAGAAGGAAAAATTAGCTTGGAATTTGTCAACACCACATCTCAGTGGGCTGACATTTTCACAAAACCTCTTGGAGCAGACAAATTCATTCCTAATCGCCGAGAACTTGGCTTGTTTGAATTTTTCGAGATTGAATCTTCATAAGACTTTATTTAAGAATATTGTCTTACCTTTCCGTCTTAAGATTTTGATTCCTGTGTTTATAACAGATCAATACTTGCCTTTAATGTGTCTCTTCACTTTCCATCCTTTCCTTCTTTTCTATATAGGGGAGTCTTCGTTAGGGTTCAGCAACTTAGTTTCCTGCCATAGTCAGTATTCCATCTTTCCCTGCACCAAAACATGACTCCAAACCATGCTCAACTTCAGCCCACATCCGTGTTCAAGAACCAAGGCCTCTTGCTTCAATAAATATGCCATGAACATTCCATCTCTTCTCCATGGCCTCGGCTGGAATTCTCTAGTTGAAGACACGAGATTCAGCTATTGCCCTGAATCTGTTCGTAAATTCTATGTCAATATCAAGTGTGGTCCTGGATGTAACCCATCTTTCTTTACCACTACTGTGTTTGACTATGAGGTCAAGGTCACCCCGCAGCTTCTGGCAAACCTTCTTGATCTTCCTTACTCTGGGTTTCTAGCTGGAACTGATGGCGAATTCTCAGATCGAGGGTTCTGCTTTTCTGCTGAACTAGCATCTCTCACCCGGGATATAGGTCGATTCTATCCTACTCAGCTTGCGGCTGGATGTCTTCATGAAGATCTGAAAGTTCTCCATTTTTTCATCACTAGATGCTTTCTGCCTAGAGATCTTTCCAGTACTGACGTTTTGCACTCCTCGGATCTCTAGATCCTGTCGAATGCCAGATTTGGTCGCCAAATCAGCTATGCTTCCCTCATGTTTCATCACATGATTAAGTATGGGATGGAGTACTTCACGGGGCTTTTGCCTTTTGGCCCTCAGATTACTAAGCTTCTGTACAAGGTAGGAATCGATCTTAGTGAAAATATCATTCTGTGCAATGTGCTCGAAGATCTGCGACCTCAGCATATCCTGGCCAAGTTAGATGCTGAAGTAGGCCCCCGCAAGCTCGTCACTGGCTCAGGGGGAGTCAATGCTAATCCTGCAGAATCATATGTGTCAGGAAAGCTGGTAGGAGCACTTATGGATGCATCAATATCTGTAGTCAAACGAGAATCAGTGATGCCTGAAAAGCCAACCACCTCTCTGAAGAGACTTAGGGAAAAAGATCTGATGTGGCCTAAATTCATATATGAATCAGGAACTGTTAATGATGCCATAAGTTCTGATTCTGAGTCTGAGGAAGCAGAAGGAGTTTCAGACTATGAGTCACCGCCAGATTATCCTTTCTAGAATCACAGAGAATATTTGTAGGGGGAGACTCTAGCGTCAAAGCACTTTTAGATTGAGTGTCTTAATTTCTTTTTGATTTTGTTAAGTCATGTTGTGGTGGTTATGTTCTTGTTGAGTCCTGTCATGGACGTTTTGTTAAATCTTGCTCGATTAATGAATAAACAAAACTCTCCTTAGTTTCTTATGACTTCTATAAAGCTGTTCTCGGTCTTTATATTAGAGCAGGCTGCACCAATAGTGTGTTACATGTGTGCAGAATACTGAAGGAGCCAATGATAAGTTTAGGGGGAGTTTATTGGAAGAAGCTTGGTCAATTGCGTTGGGAAAATATGGAAAGAAGAGCAAAAGGCAAGAATCAAAAAGAGGAACTCTGGATATGAAGATCTGTAGCTAAAATCACGTACCTTGATTGCTCAACGGTCCTAAAACAAAACTATAAAGGGTAGAATAGCAGAGGGAGTGATTCACCTTTCGCAATAGCAATTCAATTGTAGTTACAGAGAGTATAATCTATTGAAAAGAAAAGGAGAAGTTGTCAGGGAGATAGCTTGTGAGTTAGATATATCAAGATCATAGTTCTGCATGGAGTAGAACTTTGAGAGGGATTCTAATCGGTGACAGGGAGTCATTGAGATTGAGTGTTGTATTGTGTAACTTGGATACCAATCATCTTAGTGATCGCCAAAGAGTTCACAGTGAGCTTCTTTGGCCGTGGACTAGTCGGTATTGCTTTTTGCATACCGGAAACCACGTAAAAAATTCTGGTGTTGTCTCTCCTGCATTTTAATTCCAATTCACTTTTATCTTGCTGCTCTGTTTCGTGTCTATTACTTGCAGAGTCTTGATCAAACCACGAATACAAGCAGGAAGAAGAAGTTTCGAGCACACAGCACAGAACACAGCATTCCAACACAAAACGCAAAGTAGCTGTGTAGTCTGAGTGTTGGATCGCATCTTTACTAGTGAGAGAATTCTGAGTATATCCGAAAATTAGTATTGGGTCTGAAGTAAGCTTGGCCAATGGTTTAAACATTAATCTATCTGCTAGTAACTGTCTAAACTCAATCCGATCAAAACATTTTGCCCTTCATTTCATTTCATCTTCTTCGACCGAGCTAACCACTACTGAAAAACCCTAAAGCAAAAATTCCCAAAAGTCTGTTTAGATTTTGCAAGAGTACCACAAGAATCTCGCGCTCGATTCACACCAACACCTCGTGCCTTTTCTACATATCTTGACAAATTCTAGGAATTTGAGTATAAATTAGGGTGTTTTCTCAGCGCTTTGCCATGGCTTTCCAGTTCATATATGAATTTGTTTGCCAACCCGTTTGTGCAAGGATGGAAGTGGGTCGGAGAAAGAATTAGCTTCAATAAGAAAATTAATTCACTTTCCTACTAAGATGAAGGACTGGACTTATATGTCGGGACGGGAAAAGTAACTGAATTTAACAAAACATAGTTGGTATTCTTCCTAAAAAATGACATCGATATTGGAGAACAACATATAAGGGAATTAATTCCCGTTTTAGTTTCCTTTGCTGCTCTTCTCTCCTTTCCCGGACTATTGATTTTTTTGTTCTTCCATTCACTTTCCTTCATCCTTGCATGAGTCGCATCTACAACTCATCCACGTCCTAGGATAAATCAATATATGAATCTGACCAAATTAGATTCTTCGTCGCCCGCCTCCAACTCCACCTCTGCACTTGGAACTATTGCTCCGCCTCCACTCCGGTCAGGATAGCTTTGGATCACCTCAACTTCGTATCTCACCTAAGAATCTTGATTGATTGATTTAGAAAAGCATAGTTCGGGATTGGCTCATGTGACTCATGTCCTTCCTTATCAATCAAGAAGCCTAAGGCTGGGAAGTTCGGCGACCATAGCGAAGGTTGTGGGTTGATTGCGAGCATAAAGAAGCGACCCTTATGGAGGAAGATTAATTTTTCTATTTGACATCCAACTTCAAAAGAAATTCTTGGATGTAGCTTCCTAATCGACTATAAAAACCTCCTACCAGAATCGAAACCGGTTGGTGGTATTTAGTGATATGAAATGGTTGAACCACGAGTAAAGAATGGGTTCAAAATAAAATACCTTATCACTAAATGATACAACCTTTGATATGGTTTTTCAACCTTTGAAAAAAGCATAGTATAAAATAGAGAAGGTAGGAGAATATTTTTTTTATACTAAAGAATTAGATAAAATAAAGGGCAAATACCACTATAACACCTGAACTATCGAGAAAATGCCACTTGTGTCCTATTTTATTCAATATTTCATTTGTGTCCTGAACTATTTTTCTGTTAGTGTTGACTGTTAATATTTAACGGAAAATCTAGTCAACATTGACGTGGCATATGCCATGTAATTTTTAATTTCAATATTTATTATTTTTATAAAAAATGAATAAAAGGGAAAACAAAAAAAACCCTTTCTCCCATCTCTGCATCGCACCCACTCGACGCCACCGGCGGAGCTTCAATCCTCCGTGCGCCTTTCTACTTACGTCGCCGGCCAGAAGATGTTGCTTGCCTCGTTGAAAAATTCCCCTCTATGCTGCCCTTCTGTATTTCTCATCTCAGTCGCCGTTGTCCCAAACAATCATCTCCACCGTCAAAGTCTCAGTCATGGCCGACCCTAACGACCCAGAATCTATGTTATCCCTCCACCATTCTTCCTCCTCGACTTGAACCCATAACCCAGAATCTATGTGGTTCTATGGGTACGATTCGAACGGGGATTGGTAGAAAAAACATCCGCCCACAACAGATTCACACCCACAAAACCGTCGCCGCTCTTCATCGTCGTCGCCTCCGCACGATTCACTTGCTTTGGACACACAAATCTTCCCTCATTGATTGTATCTGAAACCCACCAACCCAGAAAAAACATAAGCAAAGTGCATCATAATCAATCCTCAGGTCCAGAATTCTTAGGCGTACGCGGAGAACGATTGATATCCTAGCATTTTTAATCAATTGCCACAACCCATCTTGTCGATTTCTTGAGGTCCAATCCTCCTCCGACTGCTCCAATCGATGCGCGATTTAGCTTCTTCATTAGAATTGTATATGGGTAGCCCAATCAATGGGCAATTCCTCTCCGCCAGTAATTATGCATCAGCGGAGGAGAAGAGGAATGGGTACCCCTAGGGAAGAGAAGAGAGGTTTCAAGATCTTGCCTTAGGAAGATCGTCGATGGTGGTGGCAGGGTACCATAGACTCCCGCACCGGTGAAGCAGAGAGGAGGGCAGTTGAAAGAGATCGAAAGGGATTTTTTTTTGTATTTTGTATTTTTAATTAATTTTTATTTTGATGTTGTATTATAGAATTTATATGTTAATGACGTGGTATCTATGTGGATGCCACGTTTTTAACACGTCAGCAAAAGCCAACTTTACTTTGACCACCATTTGGTCAATTGTTATATTTGACGGTCAACAAAACCGCAAGGACATAAATGGCACAAAACATCATATGACGGAACACAAATGGAATATTGAACAAAATAGAACACAAGTGGCATTTTATCAATAGTTCGAGTGTTGTAGTGGTATTTGCCCTAAAATAAATTTAAAACCAATTACAAAAGTTTCAAGAAATTGGTCAAAGAAGACAAATTACTCTATAAATAGCCATGTGTTGAATTTAGAGGCGATTGTCACCTACAACAATTAAACTCCATGTCATTTTAACCTACCTCTTATGTAACAGTAACCACATTCTAACTTTAATAGGTATTAAGATAGTATATCACTGAGTTGTTAATAGAAAATAATAGGCTAAATTACATGTTTGGTCACTCAAATTATATAAATCTTTCATGTCGAATTACTTTTCTTTCTTAATCGCCAATAAGTTTACGAATCATTTCACTATTAATCACCGGCCGTCAGACTCCGTTTAACTCCGTCAATTTTTTGATGACGTGGCAAATAGAACTGCTGACTGGACCGTTAACTTGGTATTAAAAAAAACAAAAATAAGGTAGTGGGAGTTGCTCGGTAGCGAGGATTTCGGGAAGGTTTATCGAGTCGTTCTTCCCAACTCGCAAACAGGATCTCTACTCTCGCCTCCATGCCCTGCATCTTTGTTTAAAGCCCACAAAACCAAGCGCCTTTCACCTCACAACAAAAGCAAATTGGAGAAAGGGTGAGTAAGAGAGATCAGATCCGTCGGAAGGCAAGTCTGGAGAAACAGAGAAGCAAGAAATAGAGTGGAAAGGCAATTCCTTTTTGTTGTTTTTGTTTTCTGGGACTCAAACTCCAAAAAACAGAACAATGGAAGAGGTTGGGCTATTGCAGTGCACGGGACTCAAACCCCAAATCTCCCTCTTCAGCGATAGGAAGAGGCCAAACGCCTCCTCACTCGCTACCTCAATCTCGGCATCTCTGCTCTCCGCTCTAATCTCCCCGCCATCGAAGTTGTTGAACTCGTTTTACGTTTATTCCCCTGTTTCTCTGGTTCCTCGTTTATGTGGGTTCCTCACAACTGATCTCTAATTGATTCGCAATTTGAACGAAAAGAAGGATTGATCAATTGGGAGTTAGACATTTGAACTTTGTCATTTCCCTCCTCTATCCTGTTTCTCTACTTTGTTCTTCCTTTGCTACTTACCCTTTACCCTTGATACTGCAAATGTATTTGGATCTTAACAGAGTATAGTGGAGTAGATTTTAAGTTCAAAACGATGGGTAATCTGGCGATGATGAATGATATCCCCCCGTGAGCGGAGTTGGGTTTGCTAGTGTTGCCCTCTGTTCCTGTTCATCAACCCGCCGACTTTGACGAATTCACCAGACAATTGAACTGGTTATGGATGGGTTCTGAGTTCTGGGCTTGTTTTCTCGGACTGCTCCCCTTTCTCCATCAAGCATTTTACGGCGACCAATGTCCCATCGCTGGGAAGAAAAACTCGATAACCCTTCCCCAAACCCCCGCAGGCCGCGCCTCCCGTTGACTGATTTTTTATTTTATTTTTTAATTTGACCT